TATTAGATTTCTTGATTATAGCCATTCTAACTAGGGTAAGGTTGAATTTCAATGTTGTTTTGATTTGCATTTCTTTTATGGCTAGAGAAGTTGAGCATTTCTTCATGTGTCTATTGGCCATTGCTATTTCCTCTTCAGAGAAGTTTCTCTTTAAATCTTTAGAGAATCTATATTATTGACTGGTCAGTTCCCTTCACCTACTGGAAATTCTAAAACACACTTAACAAGATATTTAAACAATTAACTAAACTTAGTCAAATTAACTTCATATTTAAAGTTTGTCAGGAAACAAGAGTTGGGGTCTAAACCCTGCTGGATAAACTTAATATTTTGTGGTTTTGAAGAAGTCTTTATCAAATGAACTCCAGAAAATGTAAAAAATAGAGTTTTTTTCCTTTATTGTTTTTATTTCCTTTTCTTTTTGTCTCATTTGTTCATTTATCTGACTTTGGCAGAGTAAGTAGGAGCACAGAAATTGAGGGACAAAGGGTACTCGCTAGACACTATGTTGAAAATGAACTGTACAATTTATGGGTGGAGACAGGAGGGAAAGGGTGGTATTGTCCAAAAAGAAATGTACTCTTTACCTGACTTTTGTAATTGTAACCCCTCTATACATCACCTTTATAATAACAATTTCTAAAAGGCTTTTATCCTTGCTGATTTTCTATTTCTTCACTTATAGAGCTCAGAGTAACATCTAAGACTGCAATAAGGATCAAACAAGTTTGAAAACAGTATTGTAAATTACAGAAAATAATGCAAGAGATTTTTAAGTGAAAATTAATAACCAGGGAGTTTGTAAAATGTTATAATTCAATGTAAAATGCTACATTAGATCACAACTATGCATTTCAAAGAATTAAGCACCGTAGGTAGTGTTATAATCTGGGTTTAGACACACAGCATGAACTTTCTTTGTGTTTCAGGATTATCATTCTAAAAGTATAATAAGAATATTAACAATATTACTAATAACTGTTTTATAAATTTGATTTCAAGGTAAAATGAGATTAAGTATAAGGAATTCAGTTAATATTAGACAGACCAACTAGAAAGACCGAGCTATAATTATAAAGTAATGTTTTATAAGTCTGTTGTTGATAAGTACGGAGATGAAGCATATTTTCTTTTCCTCTCCTGCTCCCAGCTCTCTTGCTTCCTCTTACCTTCCACAGCCTTCCGTAACTACAGCTATCTACTTGTCAGATAGACTCTTGCCCTCCAACCTCATTACTCCCATTCTAACAGCTCCAGGGAAACCTTCAACTTTACAACTCTTCTCTTGGGCTCTCAAATTACAGAACCCTGGGACTAGTCATGTGGTTTAGAGGTAGAGTGCTTGCCTAACATGCATGAAGCCCTGGGTTCGATTCCTCGGTTCCACATAAGCAGAAGTGGTGCTATGGCTCACCTGGTAAGAGTGTTAACCTTGAGCAAAAAGAAAGCTCAGAGACAGTGCCCAGGCCCTGAGTTCAAACCCCAAGACTGGCAAAAACACAAACATAAAACACAGAACCCTATTTATTCTACTAATAAGAGATGTATTTTGTAATGTAAGAACATGATCATAGGAGCAACATTCTCTGATACTGTCTTTATTTAAAATTTGGATATTTGGCTCACTGAGCATGTGGTGTGTATGTGTGTGTCCATGTATGTTACTATTAGGGTACCAAAACTCAAATTAAAAAAAAACAAAAAACCTTGAATTCAAGGCCTCATGCTCTTTCTTTTCTTTTCCCACTCAAAGCTGGTACTCAACCACTTGAGCCACACCTCCACTTCTGGCTTTTTGCCAGATAACTAGAGGTACAAATCTCTTTGATTTGTCTGCTTAGGCTAGCTTTGAACAGGGATCCTTATATCTTAGCTCTTGAATAACTAGAATTACAACCATGAGCCACTGGCACTTTTTACACTAATTTTGATTAAATTATGGTTCATCTTGATTGATGGATTCTTTGGCACTATTTAAACTTTCTGCATTCCAGCAAATTACTTATCTTATATGAATTCTGTCTGGCCCTGCAAGTTTGGCTTATAAATCCCAAGACAAGAGGAATCCTATCCCCAGGGCCTAGAACAGGGAAGAACTCAAGTCTGCATAGTTTCTCTCAAGAGTTGTCTGGGGGTTTTTTTGTTTGTTTGTAAATTGTTGAAATAAAATATTGGTTTCTACACTATTTTATTATATGTATACACATATATCACATTATGTGTATACATATGATATATATATGATGACCATTGTATTCTTAGTAGAACAATTACTATGACTAAGATTTTGGCAATCCAAAAAATTCTTCTTTCTACACCCTACCCTTTGTGTGCAACTTCAAAAGGCAGCTGGCTTTTCTTTCACGGTTTAATTTGTCCCTAACTTATTCCAGGAATTAAAAAAGCCTTTGAGCTAAATTCTGAAGATAGAAAGATAGCTAAACCAGGCACCAGGGATTCATACCTGTAATCTTAGTTACTCTGGGGACTGAGATCTGAGGATAGTGGTTCAAAGCCAGCCCAGGCAGGAAAGTCGATGAGATCTTATTTCCAATTAAGGAGCAAAAATTGGGAAATGAAACTATGGGCTCAAGTGGTAGAGTGATAACCTTGAGCAAAAATAGCTAAGGAACAGCACCTAGGACTCAAGTTCAAGCACAAATCAGTGCATAACACACAAACACATACACAATTGTGTATTAAAATAACGAATCCAGCTTAGAGAACTCCACAACACAAGATGGTTTGGTAGACATTGTCAGTGCATGCTTTTCTTCCAAATTGCACTGGCCAACACACTAACCATAGCCTCTGTGGCTCTTTGGAATTAAAGCAATTAAAATAGAATGAAATGATAGACAGAGGCCAATGGCTCATGCCTGTAATCCTAGCTGCTCGAGAAGCTAAAATCTGAGGATTGCTATTGGAGGCCAACCTAGATAGAAAGTCCATGAGACTCTTATTTTCCAGTTAACCTGCAAAAAATCTGGAAGTGGAGCTGTAGTACAGTGCTGGCCTTATAAATGTAAGGGTCAAGAAGGAAGAGGAGGGGGGGGCAGGGAAGAAGGGGGGAAAAAAGGGGGAAGGGAGGAAAGAAGAAAGGAGGGAGGGAGGGAGGGAGGGAGGGAGAGAGAGAGGGAGGGAGGGAGGAAGGAAGGAAGGAAGGAAGGAAGGAAGGAAGGAAGGAAGGAAGGAAGGAAGGAAGGAAGGAAGGAAGGAAGGAAGGAAGGAAAAAGAAACCTAAAGGTGTTATCTGACTTCCAACCAAGGCCACACCCTAAATAACTCCCACCAAGTAGGAAGAGCTTATCAGCTCTGGGGAGGGATTAGAAATTAATCTCGTTTGTTCTCCTACATTGAAGAGTGTCATTAAAACCCCTTTGAACAAATAGAGAAATAATATTTCTTTATAAAAGGAATTAATCTAGTGTGTGTTCTCTGGTGAAATGCTTAACCCAATGGTATCAAAGGGTTGTAATTCTAAAAAAGCAGGTTAAAGAAAGTGTGTGTGTGTGTGTGTGTGTGTGTGTGTGTGTGTGTGTGTGTGTGTGTGTGTGTGTGTGTGTGTAGGATCTGCTAGCTCCTTGAAGCTGTATTTCTTATAAAAACTCAGACCTCAGATGCATAAGACACTATGTTGAAAAACGAACTTTACAATCTAGGCAGAGGAGGGGGGAGTGTAGTTTTGGAGGTAGGAGGGAACAATGCTTGATAGGAAACGTACTCATTACCTTGCTCATGTAACTGTAACCCCCTCTGTACAGTATTTGTACAATAAAAAGTATATATAAAAATAGAAACTCAAACTTTAATATTTCCTTCACAAAAATAAGGGAAGAGGTACTGATGCAAACCTGATCTGAGGACATGTATGTGATATTTATAATTTTATTTTTATTAACGTGTATTAATTTACAAAGAGGTTTGTTGTAATGTTTCCATAGAGGATATAATGTACTTCGATTAAAATTTACTCCTTTTATTGCTCTCCCACCCTTTTAAATCAAGATTCACTTTTCTACTTTTTGTAAATGTATATTTCGATCATAGTCTTACACACACACTTTCACTCTCTCCTCTGAGTCCCACCCTAATCTCTCCCCTTCATTTTTTCTCTCCCCCTCTCCCTCCCTCTTTCCCTTCCTCCCTCTGGGTCTCTCTCCATCCTCCCTCCCTTTCTTTGTCTTCCTCCTTTCCTTCCTGCCCCCCCCCAACTCCTTTCAGAGAGCGTGCTGTTTTCCCTTTCAGCCTGGTTCATCTCCTTTACTCTGTTCACACATCAGAATAAGGACCCACAGAGACCAGGAGAGAAAAACTTTCTTAATATCTCTAACTTTAGAAATTCACCTGCGAATAGCAGGATCTAAAGTAGGGAGCTAAGGAAGCTGTATCTGCCTTCAATTCAAAAGGATGGAGAAGATGTGGGAATCAAACAAAAATTAATTTTTTAACTGGAAGTTACCTTTTCTAATCTTACAATAGAAATTCATTCACAAACAACAAGCAAACAAGTATGTATATATGTCATACATATATATGTCATATATATGTTATATGTTTTATATATATATATATATATATATATATATGACAAAGAGCAGTCAGAGAAGTTTACTACTTAGAAGTTTGGTAAGGCATGCAGGGAAGGCAGCCATTGTGTGTTTCTATTCTCAGCGAGTAAAAACCGGCACCTAAGAGCTTAAATTTTCTTGCACCTATATTCATGAACATCTATGGAGTGCATGCTGCATAGTTCCAGGTCTCTGGGACTCTGGGACTTTGCCCTGTGCTGAGGCCTACAGACTTAAGCCAGGGAGGAACCACAGCTGTCCTGCGGAGAAGAGCACGTGTGGTAAGCCATCCACCCTCCCGGGGCCGCCTTACCTGCAAGCCCCGCCCACAGCCACCTGGGGACCTCACCCCACCTACCGTGGGCGGCGTTAATTGGTAGGTGTGGCCCAGTTTGAATGCACTCAGCCGGAGGAGGCGGGGGCTGGGAGCCGAGCACGCGGCCGGGCCGAGTCCTCCAGCTGTTGGGGTGCGAGTTCTATTTCTCCTTTGTCTTACCTCTGCGGGAACTGGGCGAGGAGGAGTCAGAGTTCGTCTGGGTAAGTCACTGATTTCAGGAAACTTTGTTTTTTCTGATGTGGCAAACTGGATGTATCGATTTTATAACTGAAGATCTAGGAGTAAAAAAAAAAATGGTTTGAAAATCAGAATTGAGAGAGAGAGAGAGAAAAAAGTTCTATCATTCGGGAAGCGAGTGGGGAAAGTGGCCTTTGGGCCACTAAATCTCGACCTTCTTGGACTGCATGGATCCCCAGCTGCTTTGGGTTACTGACCTCGAAGTCTTAAAGGAGATAAAAGGCAAAGTGAACCCACTGGCTAGAGAGTGGAAAATTTAAAACGTACTTTTCTAAGTTCAACTATGTTTCTAAATATCTTATTGGGTTGCAGAATGTGGCAACTTTACAATTAATTTTACATTATTTTTCATTGTGAAGACAGTAGACCTATCTTCTTTCTCTTTTTTTTTTTTTTTCTGCTTGTTCACTTACATCTGTAATTATGAAGGAAAAGAAGGGGAGGAAATCCTAATTCATTTGCGTCCCTTACCTCTCTCCCGACACCTTTACTTATCCAGCAAGTTGGAAAAGTTCTTTTCTACGATTTTCCTGCCTTCCTGGCTGGGAGTCTTCACTGCTTGCCCAAATGAGCAGCATTCCTTTCCTGGATGATGAAATTACCTGATAAGTTTGTTTTCTGCATTCACTCCTCTCTGCTTTGCGGCGTTATTTCGGCCTAACCCGGCCTGGGGCCTGCTGTGACTTTTCACACGCACCCAATGGTTTCTTAGGCTGGTTAAATGCCATGGAAATGGCTTCCTGCAGAGTCTGCACCCCGGGTCTCTCCCGACCACCACGTTCCGTAGTAAATATGGCCTCCTCTCCCCGGCACCACGCCCAGCGCTGCACTTCTTACCTTGTGAATTAAATATTGGTCTCTCCTCTAACCCCGAGGGATGGCTTTTAACCTCGGTATTCAGGCCCTGGTTTTTTGGTTATTGTTTTTGATTTTTGGTTTATTTTTTATTAGCTCTTTTCAGGAGATTCCTTTCAAAGATGGCGCCCCCCAGTACTTCCTCCATCACACTAAGACTTAAAAAAAAAATGACACTTTCTTCAATCTGAAACTATTTTATTTACCGTTTTCTTCTTTTCTGTCTTCCCTGTACAATAAAAGCAAATATCTGTGAGAACTTTGGGCTTTATCTTTTCCACTGCCCTGTGTTGAGCACCTAGAACAATCTTGGGTACTAAATATTTGTCAAAACGTTGAATGGCAACTTCTTGGTACAACTGTTTTAAAATAGTAAAAACAAATTTTTTAAAAAAGATTGAATAAGTCAACAACGTGCATCTCACGAGGTGTAATCTTATCCAATTTTTTTATGCTGGGACTAGAACTTGAACTCATAGCTTGGGCACACAGTTCCTAAGCCATTTTGCTGAACTCTTCATTTTTCTGCGTGTGTGTGTGTGTGTGTGTGTGTGTCCGTCTGTCCGTCCGTGTGTCCGCGCTTGCACGCTCCGGCGAGCACAAGGTCTTAGAGATAAGAGTCACATGGATTTTTCTGCCTTGGCTGACTTCAAACCGTGATTCTCAGAACTAAGCCTCTTGAGGAGCTAGAATTACAGGCATGAGTCTCTAGCATCTGGCCTTTTACCCTAGTTTAAAATATATAAAATTAGGTATCAACTTGGGGGGGGGGGAGCTGTTAGAGAGGAGGTGGGAAGGGATGGGATGGTAGGGGAAAAACAAAGGCAGGATAACAATGCTCCATAGGAAATGAACTCGTTAGCTTGCTCCTGTAACTATAACCCCTCTATACAGTATCTTTACAATAATATATATAAAGAAATATAAAATTAGGGAAGTAGTGGTATGGCTCAAGTGGTAGAGTATAGGCCCTGAGTTCAAACACCAGGACTACATTAAATAAATTAAATAAGTAAATTAAATAGACAATTAGGCTAATTTCATGCCATTAAGAATTTACTTAATATTTAGTTTTTTTGTCTTCATCCCATCCCATTTTTTATGTTGTATCTAGTAATGAAAGATGTTTGTTATATAAACAGTTTTTTTGGGGGGGGGGGTCTGGTCGTGGGGCCTGAACTCCGGGCCTGGGTGCTGTCTCTCAGCTCCAGGCTAGCGCTCTACCACTTGAGCCACGGCGCCACTTCCGTCTTTTTTCTTTTTGCTTATGTGGTGCTGAGGAATCGAACTCAGGGCCTCAGGTGTGCAAGGCAAGCACTCTACCATTAAGCCACCTTCCCAGCCCCATATAGACAGTTTTCTAATAGCAAATTAATAGATTAACTATCTCAAGTTCAGAAACTTTTCTATAAGACTGATTTGTTGTAAAAATAAAAATCCCAGGGGCTGGGAAGGTGGCTCAGTGGTAGAGCACTTGCCTTGCGTGCATGAGGCCCTGGGTTCAATTCCTCAGCACCACATAAGCAGAAAAAAAAGCCGGAAGTGGCGCTGTGGCTCAAGTGGTAGAGCGTTAGCCTTGAGCTGAATTGCTGAGGGACAGCGCCCAGGCCCAGAGCTCAGGCCCCACGACCGGACCCAAAAATAAAAAATAAAAATAAAATAAAAATCCCATAATAGAACTAACAAGAAAAGTAAAGGACTATGGTTTGCTTATTAAATACTCTTCTTCAACCTTGATTATGTAGGAAATGTCTTTCAAGTTATATTTTGTTTTATTTACAGCCAACTTTTTTTGGGGGGGGGGTCCCGTCGTGGGGCCTGAACTCTGGTCCTGGGCTCTGTCCCTCAACTCTTCAGCTCAAGGCTAGCACTCTACCACTTGAGCCACAGCGCCACTTCCGGCTTTTTTCTTTTTGCTTATGTGGTGCTGAGGAATCGAACCCAGGGCCTCAGGCATGCAAGGCAAGCGCTCTACCACTGAGCCATCTTCCCAGCCCTACAGCCAACTTTTTGAAATTAATGCTAATGTTCTGAATATTCCTAATAAATTTATTTTGTAGAACAACTAAACCAGACATTATAATAACTAATGCATATTTACCATCTCATTTCATTAGACAAATAAGGGCTGGAACACGTGGTGGAAAATAGAAGAACTGTTGGCTTTCACAGAGCTCACAGTCTAAGGTAAGTCCTGAAATCAACAAGTCTATCTCTGATCTGTGTAAGCTAGAGAATGAGGGAATGGTTAGTTAGCTTCATGGCCTGGGCACTGTCGCTGAGCCTTTTGGCTGGAAGCTAGAAGTCTTCCAATTCAGCCACAGCTCCCTTTCTGGCTTGTGTGTATGTGTGAGTGCCCAGGGTAATCTGGCTTTGACATTTTACATTATTTTTCTAAAATTCTAAATGCTAGGATCCTAGCAAGCAAGGAAAATCTGGTTGAAGTGATCTTTAAGTAGGGATCTGACCTATGGAGAGGCAAGCTCTGTGTGTGTGTGTGTGTGTGTGTGTGTGTGTGTGTGTGTGTGTGTGTGCGCGCGCGCGCGCGCGCGCGCGCACACACATGTGCATGCATATGCATACTTAAGCAAGAGTCAAATCAAATTGTAGTTTTTAATGAGCTAATTTTGTGTTTGAGCCTACTGATTATAGTCTAAGGTACTAGGATTATATTTTATTGTGTCACAATGACATAAACAATAGCACTGTGTTTTGTTTTGTTTCTTGGTGGTAGTGTTGAATATCAAACCTAGGCATCATGTATGATAGCCAAATGTTCTGCCATTGATATGTCCCTAACCCTTTCTATATATAACGTTTTTGGGAGGAAGTTTTAAACTCTTTCCTTAGTAGTTAAAATATTTCTTATTATACAGAAGTGGAGGAACAAAGAGTGAACAAATGCAACAGTGGTACTCAGTAGACTGTGTTAAAAATGAATTATACAAGGGGGGAGATGGGAAGGGGAAACAGAGGAGGCAACAATGCTTGATAAGAAATGTACTCATCTTGCCCATGTAATTGTAACCCCTGTTTTCTCAATTGAAAAAAATGAACTATACAACTTGTGACCAGAGGTAGGAGGGGGAAACTGGGAGACAACAAAGGAAGGGGTGACATTGTCCAAAATGTAATCCTTACCTGACTTGTGAAATGGCACATCACTTTTTTTTTTTTTTTGGTACGATTGTGGGGCCTGAACTCTGGGCCTGGGCGCTGTCCCTCAGCCCTTCAGCTCAAGGCTAGCACTCTACCACTTGAGCCACAGTACCACTTCCGACTTTTTTTTTCTGCTTATGTGCTGCTGAGGAATCGAACCCAGGGCTTCATGAATGCAAGGCAAGCACTCTACCACTGAGCCACCTTCCCAGCCCGCACATCACTTTTACAATATTTTTTAAGTCTTATTTTATCCCATTTTTTCTTTTTTATTAATCTTTTTTGCCAAAGGCAAATGGCATCATTGTATTCAGACGCTATTCATTAATGTGCCCATTTCAAAGTATTTTCAAGCTGCTAGATTCACCCCACTGCTTTACATTTGCCCTAGTTTAGAAAGCATTTAGTTTCTCTTCCTCCAGCAATATACCAGAACAATAAATAAAGAGATCTTTTATTACACATGCAATTGTAATATTGAGCAAACGGTTCTGTAAAAGCAGCAATTCTGTATGCATGCTGTAACTGTCTTGCATTTAGAATTTTAAGGAAATAATGTAAAATATCAGAGCCAGATTACCATTGGGCCTTTATTCTGGCTTATAGTAGAAAGAGGTCGAAATGATAAGGGATGTTATGTGCTTTATTTGGGATTCAGAAAATCATCTAGAACAATGGGCCAAGGAAATTATAGCCTGTGGGCAAAATCCAACCTCTTCCTGTTTTCACTGTAGCATTCTCAGTCCTTTACTTGTCTGTCACTACTTTCTACCAAAAAAGTGAATTTGAATACTTTCAACAGAGGTGTGTCTGAAGAACTGCTTTCCTAAGCAACAGGATCCATCATGTCTTTATAGAATAAACTAAAAAGGTATTAAAGTAGCAGTAGATCACATAAGTGCTAAGCACCTTACATCTATTATTTAATTTGTTTTACATCTATTACTTTAGCTTCACCACAGTTATATATGAAAGCAAGGATGTCTTATTCCCTTTGTCTCCTTTAAGTTTTTTTTAAATAAGCTGTCATGAACACCTCAGTAAAGGTATGTTAAATACTGTTAGAATTACAAAGTTCTACTTCCTGCCAGGCCCTCTGCTTACTCATAAGTAATTCTTTGTAACCTATAGTATTTATTTTACATATTACATATGCATGTGGACACCTGGTCCATGGAGCCATACCCTTTTCTAGGTCTGCTTAATGAGATATCTATCATGCCATGTTGTGGCCCGGAGTAGGGCAAGCATCATAGTGAGTGCTCAGTAAAAGCTAAGTGATCAATTAGGTGGTGACAGACACTTGGTCATGTTCTCTGCCAGAGCTCATAGTCTTTTTCTCTACACAGGTGTTTGTTGGCGGCACCTGGATCAGAACTACCCAGAAGTGATTGTTATTAGTCTGCTACAATCCTTCCCAGAGGAAGCAGTGAGGGCAAGATGAGGCAGCAGATGAACCGAAGGGCAAAGCCAAGTGGCCCAAAAGGCCTGAGTGAAGAAACTCTCCACCAAGCCGAACCAAGGCAGGACCACAGGAGGGAAACTCTCTGTGATGATGATGACCTGCTGTATGAGATTAATCATATTGTTGGAGATGATGATTTTTCAGACTGTTACATAGAATGTGTAATAAGAGGTGAGATTTCTGAATCCATCCCACAAGAAGAGTTCCTTAACTCCTTTGCAATCCTGAAGGAAGAAACAGAAAAAAATCTTTCTGAGCAGATTGTTCAGGGTACTACCAGCTCCCTTCCTAAGCCTTCATTGTCACCCATGACCAAAGGCACCCAACAAGAGCTTCCTCAACAGATGTTTGAAACGAATTCACCACCTGGAGATTCTGAGCACACACCAAGCAAGAAGCTCGCTTCTGGAGGACTACCCAGTGGTAACTTGGATCCTAAACCAGTCACAGAAGGTACTGGAAAGAAGCCCCCGAATAGTAATGCATGTGATGCTCTGAAGCTAATGATTTGTCCTGAGAGGGGCTGCACAAAAATGGTGAGAAACAAAGCTGCCCTGAAGAAGCATTCCCTAGTTCATAGTCCCCGGCAGTTTGTGTGTTCCGAGTGTGGGCGTGCATTTGCAGAAAAGGCCAAGCTGACGCGGCATTATCTGGTGCACAGTGGAGAGAAGCCATTCCAGTGCACATATGAAGGATGTGGGAAACGCTTTTCCCTGGACTTCAACTTACGTACACATGTACGCATCCACACTGGCGAGAAACGTTTCGAGTGTCCTTTAGATGGCTGTAACAAAAAGTTTATTCAGTCCAGTAACATGAGAGCTCACGTCTTAACTCATATGAAGAAGACAAAGTAATCATAGAAGAAAGAGAGAAAATGGAAGATAAACCTCATTAGTAGAAAAGTAATTGCAGAAAAATTTGCATCCTAGATTGTTGCTTCTAGACGGGGATTTTTAAGAATTATCCTTGAACAAAATAATGGGTTTCCTAACACTTTCATATATATATGTATGTATATATATGAAATATATTTGATCATCTTCACGTCCTTATTTTCCTCTTTTGTCTCTTGTCTTTTTTTTTTTTTTTTTTTAATATGTCATGAGGCTTGAATCTGGGCCTGGGCTGTATCCCTCATCTCTTCAGCTCAAGGCTAGTGCTCTACCAGTTGAGCCACAGTTTTCTGGTGGTTAATTGGAGATAAGAGTCTCTGGAGTTTCCTGCCCGGGCTGGCTTTGAACTATATATATTGGTACCAGTACTGGTACCTTAGCTGTTTTTCTCAAGGCTAGTGCGCTACCAACTTAAGCCAGAGTCCTACTTCTGGCTTTTTTGATGATTAATTGGAGATGAAAATCTTTTAGACTTTCTTGCCTGGGCTGTATGGCTTCGACCCTCAGATCTTAGCTTCTTGCGTAGCTAGGAATATTGGCATGAGCCACCTGCACTCAGCTGTGATACCATTTTAAGAACACCAATATTTTTCCTTTCAGTAGAAAGGTCAGTGATCAATGTACTTCAAAAACATAATCCTGAGATATGTTAGATTATTGGATATATTCTCACCTACTACATAAGAAAATAACTTTTAGCTTTCTAGTTTCTAGTTATGTAGCTTTTAGTAATGTAAATCACAGGTGTAATCAATGAATATTTTTTAGTATATAGTAAAATGAGTGGTTACATATTCTTTAAAGCTAGATTCGTCTTATAATTTTAACATTCTATCAAATTGTAATCATTTGGTGATGTGAATTCATAAGTCAAAATAAAAATGCACAAAACCCCAGAGGTGTGTTAATCCTTCCTTAAAGAACTCAAAGAGGGGAATGGCTCTGTGGTTCGAGTGGTAGAGCACTAGCCTTGAGCAAAAGAGGCTCAGGGACAGTGCCCAAACCCTAGGACTAGCAAAAAAGAAGAAACAAAAACAAAGATTTAGGGCTGGGAATGTGGCTTAGTGGTAAAATACTTGCCCAGAATGCATGAAGGTCTAGATTGGATTCCTTAATACCATATAAACAGAAAAGGCTGGAAATGCTATAGCTCAAGTGATAGAGTGCTAGCTCTTAGCAAAAAGAATCTCAGAGACAGTGCCCAGGTCCTGAATGCAATCCCAGGACTGGCAGTAATTTTTTTTTTTTAAAGAACTCAAATTGGCTAGGGTTAATGGTAGAGTGTGTGCCTAGCATGCCCTGGGTTCCAATTTCTCAGTTCCACATGAATAGAAAAGGCCAGAAGTGTGGTTCAAGTGGTAGAGTGCTAGCTTTGAGCAAGAAAGCTCAGGGATAGTACTCAGGCCCTGAGTTAAGTCCCAGTACTGACAAAAAAGAGTAGCACAAATATACACAAAGTGTGCATTTATTCTTAAGCATGTAACAAAATATAAAGAAACTAAAGGTATGAAGAAAAAGTTACCCATATACATGCTGCTCAGTATATAATTTGTTATAACCATTTGGCAGGCATTTTGTAAGTGTTCTATCAGCTTCCCAAGAGTCACAAACTGGGAGGTTCATTATCTCATAAATCTGAGATTTAGGCTTCTGGCCCAAAAATGGAGGTGTTAGGATTGATCCCTCTGAGGACTGGATTTGGGAGGGGCAGGACTGTAGGCTTTTCTCCTTGGCCTGTAGCTGTTTCTGTGTGTTTTTAACTTCCCTCTAAGCCTGTGGTCAGATTTCTACCTTGCTTACATCTAAATATTCCTTCAAAGAAGATCACTTTCTAAGGTAGTTGAGGGTAGGGTTTTACTTAGCATGTATTCCAAAGGAACAATTCCACAGCAATTTTTATAATTAGGGAGGAAAGTATTTGTTAAGGATATTCACGGAATCCTTTCAGTAATAAGAAATCTGCATTAAGAAAAAAAGGGGGTCTGGGGAGGTGGCTCAGTGGTAGAGTGCTTGCCTTGCATGCATGAGGCCCTGGGTTTGATTCCTCAGCAGCACATAAACAAAAAGAAAAAAGCCGGAAGTGGTGCTGTGGCTCAAGTGGTAGAGCACTATCCTTGAGCTGAAGAGCTGAAGGATAGCACCCAGGCCCAGAGTTCAGGCCCCACGACTGACAAAAAAAAAAAAGAAAAAAAGGGGTCCATAACTGCCATTTCCTGCATAGGAGCAGAAAAGTTTCTTTCTCCCCCTATTTTAATCCTGTTAAAATAAATCATTGATAAAACTTAAAAACAAAGACACAAGTTTCATAAACCCTGTTTGATTCACTCAAAATATTCAAGTGTTGGGGCTGGGAAGGTGGCTCAGTGGTAGAGTGCTTGCCTTGTATGCCTGAGGCCCTGGGTTCGACTCAGCACCACATAAGCAAAAAGAAAAAAGCCGGAAGTGGCGCTGTGGCTCAAGTGGTAGAGTGCTAGCCTTGAGCTGAAGAGCTGAGGGACAGCGCCTAGGCCCAGAGTTCAGGCTCCACGACCGGACACCCCCCCAAAAAAAAAATCCAAGTGTTTATGAATGCTTGTGTCTAGAGGAAGGAAAGAGGACTATGCTAAGGAGATATATTTAGTAGGTGGGACGTGAGTTAGTATAGGTAAAATGCCATTTGGTTTTAAGATATAAGACATACCTAGAAGCTATGCAAATAGGTACCCTACATTTAACAGGTTTAGTATTGATCTTGACTTTTAGAAATGCCAAAATACTAAAAGGGAGTTTTGTTTTTTGCCTGTCCCAGGGCTTGGTTTGGGCACTGTCCCCTGAGCTGCTCAAAGCTGCCTCTCTACCATTTGAGCCACAGCACTACTTGTGACTTTTTCTGAGTAGTTTATTAGAAGTAATAGTCTCATGGACTTTCCTGACCAGGCTGGCTTTGAACCATGATCCTCAGATCTCAGCCTCCTGAGAAGCTAGGATTACAGGTGTGAGCCACTGATGCTAGCTCTAGTATTCAGTTTTTAAACTGTTCCTTAGTTCTGCAGAGGAGTTATACCTTTGAACTCCTCCCCTAGGTATTCTATTACTCTATTCATGTGTGTTTGTTTCTGTGTATGCTTGTATTTTAGACCAGCCTTCACATAAGAAAAAGAGTTTGCTGTTTGTCTCTCTGACAAACAAAATCTAATTTTTTTCTAGGTCCATCTACTTCTCTGCAAATAACATAATTCATTATAATAGATGAGCAAAAGTCTATTTGTATATATGTGCCACATTTTCTTGATCCACTCATCTGTTTTAGGGCAGCTGGGACATTTCTATAACTTAGCTTGTGAATAGTGCAGTCATGAACATGAATGCAAGTGTCTTTCCTCTATCCTGATCTGTATTATTCTGTATCCTGATCTGTAATATTCTGGGTAGATGTACAACAATGGTATTACTGGATCATAGGGTAGCTCCATGTTTGGAATTTTGAGAAAGCAGCAAATCACCCAGAGTGATTGTACTATATTACATTCCACCAACAGTATAATATAGTATATCTTTAAAACCAATACATCGGGTTTTCATTTATGCTTCAGTGTGGGCTAATTATTACTATGGGCTGTTACAGAAGATATTCTTATAATTAGTGTGGCATTTCTGCCATTTTTTTTTTTTTTTTTTTTGGTCCGGTCGTGGGGCCTGAATTCTGGTCCTGGGCGCCGTCCCTCAGCCCTTCAGGTCAAGGCTAGTGCTCTACCACTTGAGCCACAGCACCACTTCCTGCTTTTTTCTTTTTGCTTATGTGGTACTGAAGAATCAAACCCAGGGCCTCATGCATGCAAGGTAAGTGCTCTACCACTGAGCCACCTTCCCAGAGTGGCATTTCTGCCATTTCTATAGGAATGTAGGCCTTGGTTCATAGGGCACACAATCTATAAGTTTAGAATTTCCCATATCAGTCACCAAGTAGAGAACTTAAGTGTTAGAATTTAATCATGTTGATGAAAACTGTTATCTAGTTTCTTTATTTGGTTGCCCTGTTTGGTCCTTTATGAATTTCTTTACTTCACAGCTGAAGATCAAATGAAAGAAGTAGACTTTAGGCTGCAACTTCTTGAGACCTGAGAAGGATCCAAATTAGCATCCTCTGAGAAAGTTGGTCTATTTCTATAGATTCTTCTTTCTAGAACTGAAGTGTGTCTGGATTTCAACACCTGGTTAAGTCCTGAGTGACAGTTGAGCGACCTTACTTGGCTAGACTCTTAGGTTGTTTGTTTTGTTATATTTTTTTTTTTTGGTGATCCCACCCCCCCACTACCACTAAAGACAGACAAAAAAGAACCAAATGTCAGGATTCTTATCGGTCACTTACTGAACAGTATCATATGACTCAGGGTTTAAAAAGGAATGCACACTCAAGTTTCTGTTGTGCAAGTGCTAGAACTTAAACTAAGGGCCTGGGCGCTTGTCTCTAAACTTTTTTTCCTCTAGGCTGATACTCTATTACTTGAGCCATAGTTCCACTTTCAATGTTTTCTTTTTCTATCTTTTTTTTTTTTTTAATGTGGTTAATTGGAGATAAGAACCTTACAGAGGGGCTGGGAAGGTGGCTCGATGGTAGAGTGCTTGCCTTGCATGCATGAGGCCCTAGGCTCAATTCCTCAGCGCCACATAAACAGAAAAAGCCGGAACTGGCGCTGTGGCTCAAGTGGCAGAGAGCTAGTCTTGAGCTGAAGATCTGAGGGATAGAGCCCAGGCCCAGGGTTCAAGCACCATGACTGACATTAAAACACACAAACAAAAAGAACCTTACAGAACCTTTTCTTTTGAGAGACTTTGAGCAGCATTCCTTAGATCTCAGCTTCTTGAGTAACTAGAATAGGTGTGAGCCGCTGGTGCCTAGCTGCCACATACTTTTAAAATTGAACGTATGGACACATAGAAAATTAAAGGAAGTCAGCCCTACACTTACTTTTACACACAAAACACATACACAAATGTGCATTTGTACATGTGTATATATGCTGACATCACCTTACAGTGCGAATATGTTTAATAGCCAAGAATTCATAGTAGAAAGTTAATACTCCAGAGAGACTTGTTATCTAAGCTGTACAAGATAATGTGATAATTTGAAATGATTATCATTAAGCAAATTAGCCTATTACCTTTC